ATCTCAAAAGCGTTGAGCTTCGCTGACGGGTACAGAAGACCTCCCCTATCAACGGCAGCGGTGAGGCATGCTGCAGCTGGAACAGGCCCGTCTGTAAGTTCAAGCAGTTCTTGACAGCATTAATCATATTTTGCGTGAACGTCTTTTTCTTGCAACGTAGCCAGCAATGTAAAAGATGAGACTCGAAAGGCTTGCCTGTCCGTCCATTGCAGTGTGCTCAATACCACACCCGCTAAGCACCTCGTGCGCCTCACTCAGGTATCCTACATGTAGAAGCTCGTCCACTCTTTTCTGAGACATTTTCTCCTTCGAATTATCTGTCCCTTCAAGACCCTTTAAAAGCCCACTGGACATATTGCCATGACGTGGTGATTTTGCCAGGTTCTGGAAGCTAAGCCAGTTGATAGAAATCAAGAACTGGCTGGGCGTTGGGTGCTGCTTGCACCGCGACATCCGCCGTACAATGACAAAGAGTCTTTTAATCCCGTCTTGTCTCTTCGGGCATGTCACCATCTAGCGGTATTGGAGTTCGCTTGTCACATGCTTCAGCAGAGATAGCGTTCTTGACCAAGTAACGCGTAGTTCTTTAGCTGAGCTGCGGCTCAGATAGTCTTGTCCTCCTGCTGCTTCTTCTTATATGTCCAAGTAAGCCAACAACCTCTTGATGCACACTTCTTGAAAATTTTCAGGCCTCAGCGCTCCTCACCTGCACCTGCACGTCATGACTTTAATCAATGTTCGCATCCTTTCGACGAAGCTGATGGTGGAAACTGTACTTTCATGTCGTCTCTTAATTTCGTCTTCATATAAGAAAATACCTCGGACTGCTCCATCAGTGAAGAGTCAAAACACACAGTTAACTCTCATTTTCTCAGAGCCAATTGGCCGAGCGACTGAGTTGTTCACGTGTGACATAGCCTTCAGCGAGGTGTGGCGTCTTTAATCTCACTTCAGGGCATAGTCCAAATGTAAGCCTGCTGGGCTGGTTAATTAAACGACAGTAAAAAACAGCGCAAAAAAGACGGTGCACAAAGTAGAAGACGGACACAGGACATAAAATCGAAATGGTTGACAGTGGCATGCCCTTTTATTGTCTTCAGGCATGTCAGAACAAAGTTGTTCCTCACGCATTACACAAAGTGCAGGAAGTCCAACACAAAATAAAAGTACCATTCTGGGTGAGTGGGGTGCTGTCTGCGGCAGACCGTTTTGTTCTTTGTTCCGGATATGCAAAAAGAACGCCATATGCTTCTGTTCCAGGCCGCTCGGTCACAAGTGATGAAGTGCACGTGGAGTCCAGCATTCTCACTCATGATCACGGCCTCCAGGATAATCTGAGTGAAAATCGGTGCCTTCACATTACTGCGGGAGGCAAACACGCCAAGGATCTGGTGCCACTTTCCAGTAAAAGGCTGGAACATGATCACAAGGCCGTAATCAGATGTGGGAGTCTTTTGACTCTTTGGCTTTAACTTGGCAACATCAAAAAAACCTTCAATGCTTCCATCTCATGTAAGTCTCAGATGCTCTTACAGATTCATCTCCGCGATAAAGAGGCTAGCATAGCATTGAAAATGATGCATTGATTTGATCTCCTCTTCTACAGCTGCAAACAGCTTTTGACTCAGACCAAAGCCACTCATATAGCTCTTCAAGTAGCGACGCAGAGATGTTCGAAAAGGCTGGATCATGATCTTCTTTTTTGGAATGTGTTGATATAGGCGGGGGATTTTTATACATATCACAACTCACTCAAGCACCCCTGCACTCTCGTACTTCATTGCTTTTGTGCTTTTCCGTCTTGACGCAGGAAGACATCCCTTGATCTGCTGCTGCTGCTTAACGAATATGTATTTTATCTTGTCTTCGGATGTAGATGTGTCCATTTCCGCATTTTTTTTTATCTCAGATTGTGCATTTTCGATTTTAGTTTCGAGATGCTGACCCTGCACCTTTTCAGCTGTGCGTTCCTCAGCTTTGTTTTGTACGAAGGCGTTCAAACCGGGGCCATCGAAGTTCTTTTATTGTAGCTAGGTTGGTTGAGAAGCAGCTTCTTCAGGAACTTCCACTATGAACAAGGATTTCCTGGTGTTCGAGAAATTCCAGGGCCGATGCACTAAAATTCTTGCCACCACTGGCCTTGGTCCTGTGCCTCAGATTTGTGGTAAACTCCCCTTTTTCATCAAAGCCTTTGGATGGAGTCAAAGAATCCACCTGACAAAGAAACTCTTTTGACATCTCCATCATAAGGATAAATAGCGGAAAACAATAAGGAAGGAAGGACGAGGGAGACAGGATGAGCGCTAACTGACAACTGACGTTTGGAAACACTTTATAAAAAAAGGGTAAGAAAAAATTCCAGAGGCTATCACTTAAATTAATAGAATAGAAAGAACACCGTCAAAGGCGTTTGCCATACCTATTGTTGTTTTGCGTCATTTCTCCTAAAAAATGGACAACCAACGAGCCCGCCAAATCATCTTATTGCCATCGTCACGTTGACCAGATCAACATTCACCTCGGTAGCTAGAACGAACACAGTGACACAAACGGCTTCGTTATTGGTAGTGACAAACAACACCCTTTTAAAACAACCACTCTGGCCATCGAGAGCGCACACAGAGAAGACCGTGACTTCTTCAGCTTTAGCTACAAGGGGTCTAGCCAAGTAGGCGCTTGGTAGATTGCAATTCCTGAGGTCGTTGATTAGCGGCAAGTCAACAAGAGGTGGTTCCCTGAAGTGGTTTACTTCAGCATCTGTCCCACATACGTCGGCAGGAAAAGATGCACTTGCCAGCGGAGTGCGTGTGTATGTTCTTTACCTTTTTTTACTTCCTTTTCTGTGGTGGCTTCTTCGACAGGTACGATGTCAAGCTGGGGAAGATGGTCGGAGTCGCATCACTCGTCAAACGCAAGGAGATTGCGTGGGATGGTTACGGTTTGACCATGGATGACGTGCCTGAAAACACACACAGTGAGCTGTTCATCAAAATGCAGATCACAAAGTACGCAGAAGCGTCGAGCGTTTTGTCTGCACAAGGAATTGCTCACTGCCAGGCTTCAAAGCGTTCCGGGTTTTTCGGCGCGGCAAACAAGGATACATGCCGACCAGACTGCCTCGACGACACATATTCAGATGTTCTGTTCTGTTCACTATGACACACCCAGATGTACCGCCCGCTGCGAAGCAGTGAGTTTACGTAGCCTTTTTTCATTTCACCACCAGTGCATGTGCCATTTGGGCAGAATAAAGCAGCACTCATAGTCATCTGCCAGTAAACAACGCAATGTCGGCGATGAGTCGATGTTGCGTGCACAACATTTGAAACGTCAAAGCGGATGACTGTAAAGCCACGAAGTGGTTTTTTAGGGCGATCGAGGCAACCAACCGAGTACGGAGGAAGCGAGGTATGGCTGTATGGTCTTATATGTCGAATTGTTTTGAGCAGGTCCGTGCACGCCTGCACGCCGTTGAAGAGCTTACAATAACGCCACGGCGGTCACCAGCGGCAGCGGCGTGAACGAAAGACGTGCTTTTTCTATCCGCGGCGAATACGCGCTGGTGCCACCTCCCCATCTACATACCACATCCCTGGTTTTAAGAGTGCATGTCAATGTTGGCAGACTGTACTATGCTGTGGGTTTTCTCGTCAGTGGGCTCTGGTAGCCTGCATAGGCGCAATTTCTGAAACTGTTGTATTAATTTTGCTGCATCTATTGTTTTAATGCTTTAGCAGTTGTGCACTGGTAGATGCTCTGGCGTTGCACTTCTTTAGAGCACTCGTTAATAAAGTCTGCAACGTTGCCTCGGTATAACGCCACAGCCACACTCGCGTTGGAAACTGGCTAGGACACACCTTCTAAAAGCTCCGACAGATGGCAGCGGGGTGCACATTTCGAGAGGCCTGGCGATTAATATATACAGCAACAAAGGCCGCACTGGATTGTCGGGGTATAGTGATCGACGCTGTGGCGTAACACCTAGCAACTAAAGATCACCGGCGTGTCCCCTTCAACAATTTCGGCGCTGCATTTTGAGGGACGGTAATTGGTCATCCTCAGATTGTCGCCGCTTCGCTGGAACAACCTGCGGGTGGCTAATTACAAAATATTCACTCACTTGTGCCCTCCTGTGCGTGCCACCCCGCGGCGCATCGCCGGTAGCCCAAGCACGCCCTTGCTCCACTGTCGCGTAATGCACCTTGGTTGCTAGGTATGAAGTTATTATGTCGCTGTCCATAACCAGCCAATCTAATGCGGTTGTCATCTCTCATGCACACGCTAAGTGACCTGATGTGCTTGTACTAGGGACAGGAGTGGTTTCTGGAAATGTTCGCCTAGCAGAAAAAGGCTAAGGTGCTGCAAGCGCCATGCTTTGAGTCACATAACCGCTGCGTAAAATGCTAACGTATTTTCCCGAAAATCAGCATGGCGGCAGCAGCAATTTCGGCTCGTTTTTTAATGTTTTATATTAGGCAGATTTTTTTGGTGCTTTTGAGAAAGCATTTTGTCGTCAGAACAAATAAAAAATAATGCAACCAGAATGTTTCTTTAATTTTACGCAGATTTTTTAGTCCGCCATACACTCAGCCGTGTCAACCTACTAGAGTCTTAACCCTTGCATAGTGTTCAATATTTGAAACATAAAATTTATTGAGCTCCACAAAAAAAAAAAAAAATTCGAAGTCTGAGCGTCAAAAACAAGCGCGGGGCCCTATGGTCATAATAGTCCATATTTGGCTCAGAGCAGGTGGCGCCATCTATGGAGAGATATGCAAGGCTGAAGGGTTTTCTTTGGGCGTGAACGCTAAAGTCTCTCCCAAACTGCAGTTTTTGCTGTTTTTTTGTCAATATGTATACATACAGATTAGTTTTAAAAATATACCTATTTAGTGTGATATTTCAACATTATATATTCAATGTTAGACTGCCCTATTTTGTGCGCAACTAGGGCTTTGGGATAAAAATGGTCGTGTGCAAAATTCGGAACACTCTGCACACCGGGTGCCGGTGCCATTCGAAATCAAAGCTGTGCCATAAAGTGCTCTTCCTGCGGGCTGCGCCGGCAGCCGCAAAACTCTATCTGAAAGCGAGGACTCCGACCTGTCCGAGTCGGATGGAGATGAACTACCATGTAAGTTGGAGAAAAAAAGCAACACGTGTTAGTGATTTGCAGCGATTGATAGGCGCTTCGTTTTGAATGATGCCTGCCCACGCAAACCTTCCAGCTCTAGGTCGTTTTGGGCAGAGCTTAGGTGCGGTTGATGGTGCTTAGGTGGCCTTACTAATGACAGTAGAATTCAATAATCTAACCAGATGACTACTGAAACAGTCGCGGCTACAACTCAGGTGAGAGGTACAGTGCATGAAACCCCCTGTGAGGCGAGCCGTCAGCGGAATGTGTTCCATGTGAATGTTCAACGTATTTTGCGGTCTCTAGTTGTCCTATAGACACTTTTTACAAGTTCAACTTGTTCTTGTGTTTCTGAACTCAGCTCAAAAAACAGAGTTGTTTTTTCGTTTCAGATCAGGGAAACATTTCAGCAGGCGAGTCGGACAGCGATACAGATTCTGGATTATCTACACTTCCCACAAGGTCCAGCCGCAATAACAATCAAAACCGAATTGTGTGGAAGCATGGTCATCTGAGTATCGACGAGTCTGAGTTGATGTTCATTGGTAACAGCTATTTGCCTTCGTCAGTTCTGGAGCTGGAAAGTACGTACGACCTTTTTCAACACATATTTACGCCTGAACGTTTTCGTGTGATCACTGAACAGACGTGCCTTTATTCGGCCTAATCGAGGCCTCAAAAGCCCCTTTTGCTGACCGAAGCGGACGCAGAGGTTTTCATTGGTTCTCTATTGTGGATGTCCCCGATCCAACTGCCACGAACCAGGATGTGTGGGAGCCCAAGATTCTATGTTGCTCAAGTTGCAAGTTTGATGCCTGTGAACCGATGGGAAGGGGTGAAGTTTTTTTTTTTTTTTCACTTTTCTGACAATCTCACACCAGTGCCGAAAGGACAAGACGGTTACGACAGGCAACACAAGATCCGGCCTTTGATAGAAAGCGTAAAACAACGCTGTCTCTCAATCCCGTTTTAAGAAGACCTTTCGGTGAATGAGCAAAATTGCGCGATCAAGGAAAGGAGTGCACTAAAGCTATATAACCCAAAGAACCGCATCGATGGGGGGTACGAAATATTTGTCTTATCAAGAGTCACTCGCATCCCTTATAACTTTGAACTCTACAGTGGCCAAGAGAATATCGGTGTAGACAAAGCTGCCGACTGCGGTGCAGCGGAACCGTCAGTCTTCGCCTCACTAGATCGGTCCCACATCATGTCAAGCACAAGGTCTACTTCGACAATAATTTTGCTAGCCCGAAGCTGCAAGTAACGCTGGCCAAAGCCGAAATACGATCGCTAGGGACTGTCCGGGCAAACAGGCTGCGAGGTTGTCAGTTGAAGTCCGAAAAAGAGCTAAGGAAAAAAGGAAGAGGCTCTTTAGAGGAACTAATGGGCGAACTGGACGGCTTTGATCTCTCCTGCGTGCGCTCGTTTGACAATCGCGCAGTGACGTTCCTTTCTACTTTCAGCGGCAATCTCCAGTGCAAAAAGCAAAGCGCTGGTCCTCCGTTAAAAAGGGTTTCACGGATATCGACAGTCCCGATATTGTACAAACGTACAACAAGCACATGGGAGCTGCAGACCTCCTTGACTCTCTCCTTGGCCTCTACCGTATCCACATAAGGTCAAAGAAATGGTACTTCAGAATCTTCACACAGATGCTTGATCTCTCAGTTGTAGCCGGGTGGCTTTTTTACCGAAGGGCACAGGCCCAGCTTGAGAATCAAGAGGTCCTTGCACTTGCAGAATTCAAAACAGAAGTTTCCGAAAGCCTGGCCCGTCAGAACAAGTCTATACCCAACAAGAGACCTGTAAGGCCATCCTACCACAACCCTCAAGCACAGCCCCAATCGAAGAATGCTCGTGGACCAGCGGAAAGTGCACCTGGTAAAGGTGACCGAACCGATAAAGTGGCCCACTGGCCAGAGTTTTACGATAAAAGTCAAAGATTGAAGCATATGTTGTGTTAAAAAAAATGTCCGTGCGTTGTTCCAAGTGCAAGGTTCACCTGTGTTTGAATGATAGAAATAACTGTTTCGTGTCTTTTCACACAGCATAGAGAACGCTGATTTAACGCTACGTACCAAGAATGGCGTCTCATGTGCATAGTGTGCCATATATGGTAAACATTTGTTTTTTTGCTAAAAACACTTGCAATAAACGTGAATTTTTTTTTCACAAATGTATGCATCGACTTTAATTCTAATATTGTGAAGAAAATAATTTTTAAGGAAGCGTTTTAATAATTCATGCAGCAGAGGGTTAAGTGATTAAAAGTTTCGAACTGACAATATAGCCAAAACGCATAAGTATTCAAAGTTAAAAAAAAAAAAAAGTTCAGCAAGTCTCATGTATCAAACAGCCTATTGTACCTACCCTAAAGTGCCGATTAAACCGAACAGGGTTTATTGCCAAAAGACCTCCACTGACACATCCTATCCAATTTACTGTGTCGAGGACCCTCCCTTTGCGACAAACGGACGAAATCCAAACTTGTTTTAGAGTGCGTTTTGAAGAGAGCTTGGTTTTTGCGCATCAGCGAACCAATGAAACGGAAGTGTCTGAATTGTCCCCCACCCCGCACCCGACGAGCTATTTGTCGCGAAGACCTTGAAGGATTCCAAAGATTATCGCAGCGAAGATAATCATCGAAAAGCGCCGGACAGCCCGCGTCGTGGTCCGTTCGACGGTTGATATTTCCCCTCGTTTTCTGTGAAGGCCGAGCAGGCTAAGAGCCCGGATGTTTCCTGATTTTCACGGTGGAACACAACACAAAAAAAGTAAGCGTCCTGAAGAGGCAAATAATAGCGAGTTTTAGTAGACCGTGTTTCTCCCTCCGCTAAGCGTCTCTGTTACCGGGGACTCGACAGCCAAGGTCATCGGCGCGCAGGCGCAGTAGCGGTTTCATCGTAGCAGAGGCGGAAATACGGTCTACTAAAACTCGCTAATAAATAACTTTCAAGATCGGACGGCAAGCCCTGAACGCACAGTGCAGGAGGAGAGTCGCGCTGAGTGGGTTTTCACGATCCAGAGATGGTGGGAGAAGTCTTTGGCGTATAGACCGAAATCGCGCCGGCGTCTGAGCTCTTTTTCGAAAGGTCTATAAAATCATAGACAATACGCATGTTTCAAAACATAGAGTTTAGATGGCGTTTCACCCTACTCTATGGAGCACACAGTTTTGAAACGAGAGCATAGATGGCACTTCTAGCAACGGCAGACGGATTGAAGGGAGTGAGGGGGATAACCTCCTCCGCCTGAGTTCTATGACTGACGTAATGTAGTAACATTGCAGCGCGCCCCTGGTGGATGCGCCGACGACACAAGCGACAACGTGACTAAAACGACTTCGTCATTTTTCTTGGCCTCAGTGTGGGCAGAGGTTGCGGCACTGTCTCCGCAGTCAATTTTCAGATCGGGCTAACAATGGCAACATTAATCAAATAGTATCTCGAAAACTCTTACATTTGTGCGCATACATTTATTCGGTCTGGCTTTAATAGGATTTGCCGAAAATAACGCTAGGTTAACACTACTCTTAAATTCGAAAATACAGGATTTATTTCACCAATTTTAGTAAATTGGCCGAATTACAACCATGATCATTCTCTTATGCATAATGTGCGAAGAGCTTGATAAATGCATCGTGAAGACGGCACTTGGCGAAATCCCCCCCCTTTTTTTAAAGTATGTTCGAAATAAAATTTAACATATTGTATATTATAGTCAAAGCATAAAGGGTCCTCGATATACTTAAAGGCAATGGGTTGTCTATAAAGCACAGTGAATGCACAATACAGCCCACTCATTAAGCGGAAATCGCACGGACAACAAAAGAAAAAGAAAAGTTAGCGAAGCCTTGCTAAAAAAATAATCTGCAGGAAAACATCGGCTGTATGGGCATTTATCGTTTATTATCTTAGCAATTATCGTGATTCCAATCAGTGTGCTAATAACACTATCCGTTTCCTTTAGTTGACAGAATTTGGCATCTGCTCTTTGATCTGAAAATTGTGCGATATAAAGTATTCATACTGCTCAAAAGAATAAAAAAAAATTTTTGTTCTTTGCTGATGACAAATCTAATTCAGCTCAGAAATACGTTTTAGAGTCTATCGTAGTGATGCTTCAAAATTTAGAATTTTTGTTGTGGAAATTTCTCGTTTCAAAATATGTAGGTCGAGTTTCTTGTGCTCGGGAAACACCTCTTTTCTTTGGGGAGCTGTGTGATACATCAGAAAATAACTTCGTTCGTAGTTACTTCCAATGACTTTTGTAAATATATTTCTCTCTATGCCTTCCAGTCGAAGCATCAGGGAGTTTCCCATATGCGTATATTAAAATACAGAATGTGACTCGTGTGACGCTATTTAACGTTGGAATATTTATTTAGGAATCAAAGCAGGAAAATTGGTTGCCAGCATAAAAAGATTTTAAAAAATTACCATCTCACATTTATTCGGAAACATAATTCACGGACTACCATCATTAATAGTTCTTCTTTGATCTAAGCTGAATATATACTTTGGACATGATGAAGAATCAAAAATATCAAATCATTAGATCACCCGTACTAGTACTATTTAGGGCACTTTTTAGGCAGTGCTCATAGATATTGCTCTGAAAGTGGTGACACGTTCACTTTTTTTAATATTTAGACTTACCATGTTTCTGAAAAATGAGAAATTCACACGCATTACGATATATGCACCGTTGTAACGGAAAGTTCGCAGAGAAAAACAAAAAGGGGCACCCACCCTCTTCGGTCGATTCAGGGAGGTCTGAGGAATCGTTGGAAGCTGCAAAGGACGTTACATGGGCAATTCACATAAAAATATTGCCTTATAGCACCCCTTCCAACAAAGAAGTTTTTAAAAATTAATGTAAAGTGCAGCCACGCTATTCACCAAAAGGAACTAATCATAAACTGAACAAAACAGGCAAAACCCAAAATATCCCAGGCAGAACAGGCCATTTGGCCAATGTTGGAAATATCTTGGAAAATAGGGCTATCATCGGCCCACTTTATCCTTTCTATGACCAATATTGGGAATGCATTGGGATCCCATTCGATAAATTGCAAACCACATCTAATCTGGTGCCAATGAGCTTTCAATGTCGCCTAATATTGGACGGTCATTGGCACCCCAAGGGATACATTGGAAACCACTTCCATTAAAGTTTCATTCGGATTCAATTGTTGTTTCATATTGGACAGTCATTCGCATCCCACTGTATAAATTGGATACCACTTCCAACGAAGAGCCAATAGGCTTATAGTGTTTTTCAGTATTATGCTGTCATTGGCACCCCATCGGATGCAGCATGTGTACTCGAACGCAGTACCCGAAGGAGCGTAATTGGCAGATGAATATGGCTATCATAGTGATAAAATCTTGTGGGTTCAACGCAAGGCACAGAAAAGGCCACGACGTTTTAGAAATCTAACCTTTAAATACAACAGGTTGGGCGAGTGCATTTTTTGTGTGCCTGGATCTAGTGAGTGACTGTCTACCTGTGCGCTGGTACGTGGATTATGCGCTACCAACTCGCCCAAACTGCAGTCTTAACAGACGTCGTCCAAGCGGAACTTTGTGCTTGGCAAAACCTTCAAGAGAAAGCTTTCTAAGAGCAGAATCCCGTCTTGTCATTACACACTGCTCTCGGCATCTGCGACCGCTACAAGAGGGAAGTGGGGACGGCAGACGCGTCCTCGTGCGGATTGGGTGCCGCCATGCGGCAAAAGTTAGGCATCAAGAGTCCTTCCTGACACCAAGCGCCGCCCCTCCCGAATTCAAATCGAAGGCCTGGCCCCAGTTTGGACATTTGTAAAATTTTGAGACTTCCTGCTCGCGAGAAGTTTGCAACACGAAACTGACCACACATATCTGGTTTCCGTTTTTGGATTCAAGACACTTGACAACTTAGCGCCTCGATTCCGGGGAATGCGAATGCGTCCAATGAGGTACACCTACACCATTTCGAACGTCCCAGATAAACGGATCACCGCGGCTGACGCCCTCTCGAGAAATTCAGTTAAACCATGGCATACGATTTCACGTACTCTACGGATCAAGGAATCTGTAGAGTACGTGAAGTCCTCTCTAAGACTGAAAGATCCAAGCTTTAGGCAAATCTACGCTGAACAAAACTGGGCGAGTAGTGTCAACGCCTCAGCAAATTATCCACGAGTGGCTTGTTTGTGTGTAGGCTTCTCCCCACAGTTCATCTGCACTTTGTCGCCGCACAGTCTGTCATCCAGAATAAATATGCTTTTACAAAGTTATCGATCCCCAATAAAGTATATTTAGATCTTCTTACCTCTTTGTTGATTAAACGCAATGCGGAAGCCTGGGCACTACCAAGTTCTGCTTTCCACCGACACACTGGAAGCTGTTACGCGGTGCTACCCGAAGCCGATGGTTCCTCGAAGTTTTCTGTTATCCATTGAACTAGGCGTTCACTTGTTGAACAGTTTACTGAGACGTCCGAGCAGACTCCACTAGTGGCGTCGTTCTTTTGCCGCGGCACACACTTTTAACACCCCGAAATCTAGGAAAACACCCTCCTAATTTTACCGAAAGAGGTGCTGTTTTGTGTTACACCCTACATTTAGTGAGGGTGTGAGAGGGGTGTAAAAGAGGGTGCTAAATAAATATTATGAAATGGTTTTGGAAAGCTTATATATGGCTCTGTCCATAATGTAAAGATAAGATTTCTGCTTGAAAAGCAACAGTTGTTAGCAGTCTAGTTTTTTTTTATAATGTCGGTTGTAATTCATGCAAATAGCTGATAATGAAGTGCCTATTTTGCATACAATTTTTACGTCTGTAATCAAAATTTTATATATGAGTTAACATATAATTTTCTTTTAAATCACTCCATGCTCAAAAAATGGAAACTCGGGTGAAATGTCAATACTCGCATTTTTCACAAATATTTATTGATGGAAGTGAACAGTAAGAAAATAAGTTAGTCTCGACTTTATATCTGACAACATGAAATCAAAATATAGTAAAAATGTTTGACAAATATTTATGACATGCTGCTAGAACCTGTCACATGACCATGTCAACCTGGGTAAATTATTCATTTGAGAATATGATGAC